CTCAGGGTTATAGTGGCAACTGAGACTGTGTTCCATACCTAGCAAAGAGTAAGCACTCAGATATTAGCTAGTATTTTTTATGAGTAGTGACCTCCAACTATAAGAAAGCTCTTTGCTGGGTGTTTGACAAGAAGCCTAAATTAACTTCTGGCTATAGTAATTGCAAATTATCCTAAGATTGCCAGTACTTTCTCCTTGGAGGAGCACTTAAGAAAATAACTTTGAGAATAGTGCAGAAAATTTAGAGTTGCTCACAGAAGGGGAAAAGGCTTTTTCTTCATTGCTCAAGAGACAGAATTAGTAACAATGAATGAATTTCCACGAAGTAGGTTCAGACTCTGGATACAGAATAATTTCAGTTACAGTTCCCATGTGGAATTGGCTTGCTTGCAAGCTCACATAATTATTCATACAAAGACTTGATAAAACATTAGGTAGGAGTTATTAGAATACTCCCTCTTCATTAGTCAATGCTACCTTTTAAATCATGTTTTATCACCTATGTAAAACTTTAACTTCACAGTTGATGATTAATTTACTCAAGTCCTTGTTATATATTATTGTGAATTGAGTTTAACTTTGCCAATTGAAAGGTCACGTTTCACATGGCCTTGTGTCCCTATATAAGCTATCAATCAGCTTAGAGAGGCTGTTGGAGTGCACACATTCTCTCTAGTTAATTCCTTTTAAAGTGACAGATAGTGATTGGAAAATTTTTTTGAAAAATGTCTTGATTCCATCAGTCTTGGTACCCTGTGAATAGAATTCCAGATTAGTAAATAGATCCCTAACAGAATGTGTAAGTAAGCGTAGAATGTAAGAATCTTTTTTTCATTATTTTGAACTTGTTACTTTGTCTGAGGCTGTAGTACTCTTTGTCCTCATTATTTTTTTTAAATTAAAAACTAAAAATAAATTGCAGCTTCCTTCCCTCTCTCCCCCCACTTTTGTCACAGATTACACCTTATTTAAAGGGAATGAATATTTAAACTTCCTTGACGTTGTTAATTACTTTTAAGATGTTTCACAATAGGAAAATGGTATGTAATCAAAACCCAATGTATAACATCTTTGAGGGTCTGATGAGTCCTTAATGTTTGTTTAAAGAGGTTGTGGAAGGACTAATATAGCAATTCCCCCCACCCCCCAAAAAGTGTTTCTATGAGAATGGATGATGTGGTAAAAGGATGGGCTGTAGCTAAATTTTAGTTGCTTTCTGGTTTAGTCATGAAAAATCTGTCAAGGAGTATTTTAATAGTAAGGGTTATTTCTGTGATGGTCATAAGAAAATTCTGAATACCATTTTTAATACACCTCACCTGTATGTCAGACTATGCATACCAGGTCATAATCCTATTAGTTCTTTCTTTCTTATAGGTAAGATCTTCAGACCAGTAACAAAGGGCTTAGTGGATAGAGAGAAGGGATCCAGAAGATTTCCATGTATCTGAAACTTAAATAAATCAGACACACATTTAATTTATTTTCCTTCTACTTTTCTTTTTCTTTCTTTCTATATATATTTTAACATCATTCTTCATTTTGTACATTTCTTCATCTTGGTTATGATAAGTGTGGATTTCCCATCACCAATTCACCCTTGTGTGATCACCATAGTCCTGTGTCTTCTTTCTACCCCAGTTTTGGTCCAATTCTCCTCTCTGCCCTCACAGAATGTCTCTGGTTTATAGTTGTTTGTTGATTTTAGTTTTTACTTTATTACAACTTCTTTTTTTTCCTGATCCTTTACATTCCTGCTATGAGTGAACCATCCAGTATTTTTCTTTTTCTTTCTGACTCATTTCACTAAGCACCATCCCTTCAGCTCCATCCATATTGCTGCAAATGGCATGATTTTGTCTTTTTGATTACTGAGTAATATTCGGTCATGTATATGTACTACATCTTCTTGATCCAGTGATCTATTTTTGGGCATTTGGGTTGATTCCACATCTTCCCTATTGTAAATAGTGCGACAATAAACACAGTAGAAGATGCACAGTTTTATATATTAAGCTATTTTGTACAACATTTTATTTTCTACCCCACAAAAACTAAAAGCATGGCTACTTTGAACCCAAATGTTACTTTGAAGTTACAAAATAATTACATTTCCAGATATAACCTAAAGTTCATTTCAAATCTATATTATGAATTGTCTCATGAGATTTGAAAGTGCTTCTAGCTGTGGACATGTATTGGTTGACACTGGCAGGTAGAGGCTATCTTAATGGAAGAAGGAAATAAAGAGAAATAAAGGGGGGAGATTAAACAATAAAAGGAGCTTCTTGGAAGTAAGACAAAGGGATAGAGTGGAAAGGAGAGGAAAATGAGAATAGGTGGAGTGAAAAAGGTGGAGTGAAAGGCCTACCACCAATAATTGTATAAGGTATAGAGTGATTTCCATCATCTTGCATTTTAGAACAACTACACTAAAAAAACAACAAAACAAAACAATAAAACAAAGAATGCTAATGTGGAGAACAGTAATCATTTTCCAATCATTTTCCATGAAGTCACTTAAGATTTATTTTTATTTATTTATGCATATGAGAATTGGGTTACAGGGCCAGAAATTCAAGGAGGCAAGAGGATTCACCAGAGACAGTGTGGGGAGCAGAACAGGCAGATTCACTGAAATACACTGTTGAGGGGAGCAGTTGGTGAGACAAAGATCTGCTGTGTCATGTGGGCCTGCTCCCTGGCCAGGGATGGAAATCATGCTGCAGTTGCTGCCCATAGCTTCATAATGCTGAGACTTAACCCGATATGCCACCACGGAGATCCCCATGAGGTCATTTAAAAGGACAGAATTCATGTACACCAGCAGACTTAGCTTTTACCTCTCTCTCTATAATCTTCATTTTGCTGAATCACTGAACATTTCATCACATGGTCACTCTGGCGTATTCCTTGGACTCACAGGCCCAATGTCACCAATTTTAATTTAAAAAATTTAGTATACTTCCTAATGACATAGTCATTCAGTATTTCAGTCAACATTCAATGATGGCCTACTCTGTACAAATATTAAGTTAGATCTGTGCAGAGAGAAAGGAATGACAGCAGGACCAGTAGTAATGTTATCTACCAATGAAAGGGAAAGACTTGTGAGGTAATAATGTTTGGATCTGGTTTTGATAATGACAGAGAGCCAATGAAGTGTTAAGCAAGGATCAGAGATAGCACTATAATTGTGCTTGGGTGTTGATAACATTCAAAATAATTGAGAGGAAAAGGCAAAGAAATGATTTCTTGGGATATTTAGTTTGCAACTAAGTTCAAACTAACTAGGGGACTTAGAAGGAACTCAAACAATGGGGTTAGACCGGAAGTAATCAGAGAGCCCTATGGAGGTGGAAATGGGAAGTTTCAATAACTAGTTGTAAAGGGGGAGGTAGAAAACTGTAATAACCTTTTTTTTTCCCCCAAAGATTTATTTATTTACTCATACAGAACTGGGGTACAGGCCAGAGATGCGGAGAATGAGAGGATTCAACAGAGACAGAGTGGAGAGCAGAACAGGCAGATCAATGAAGTACACTGCTGGGGGGAGCAGCGGGCGGGTCAGGAGAGGTCTGTCTCACCATGTGGATCACCTCCAGGGCAGGCTGGGATCGAACTCATGCGGAAGTGATTTAAGCTTCTTTGTGCTGTGCTTTAACTCGCTGCGCCACCAGGGAGGGCCCTGTAATAACCTTTTTTAAAGGAACATTTATAAATGAGAGTTCACTGTAGATACAAAAGACAATTAATTTAAAAAAATACTTTGAGAATAAAGTGGTATTTCTCATATCATTTTAAATAACCAAATTAGTGTAAAAAGTGTTATGGAAGCATGAAACTGAAAACTTTTTATGAGGAATTTAGATTCATAGATAATAAATATAATAACAAAAATGTCAACCCAGACTACTAGGTGTATGGAAAAGAGTGGAATGTTTTTGTATGGAAAAGAGTGGAATGTTTTAGAGGGAGAAAGAACAGGAATGTCTCTTGTATCCTTCATAGCTTTTGAACGTTTCTTAATGTACAAGAGAAAGAACAATATGTGGGTTAAAAATAACAGTGTTTAATCTAGAGCCCAGCTAAAACCTAATTTCTAACATACAACAGATGTGTTCTCACAGACAAGTTAGTTAACCTAGGCTCTTGACTTCACATACCTTATATTATACTTTGCAAAGTACAGAATAACAAAATAATGCATCTTATTGTACACCTTATGTTGCAGTGTGTGTGTGTGTGTGTGTGTGAGTGAGTGAGAGAGAGAGAGAGAGAGAGAGAGAGAGGTTAAGAGTGAGAGGGAGAGAGAGAGAAAGGTGGGGAATGAGGGGAGAGATTTGGACTGAATGGAATGAGAGAATACTGTAAAAACACTTGTCACAGAAAAAGCTAGCATGTAGTAGGTGGCAAGTTATATTTTTATTTTCATCAGCGTCATTGAATAGATTAATAGACTATTAGTAATGTTTTAGGGGTGACTGATTAAAGAGGTAAACTTGGCATTTACTTTTTTGCTTGTTAAAGATAATATTCCAGGGAACACAATCATTTCCATGAGGTCATTTTAAAACGACACGAAGTAAAGACTTTCTTGCTAATTGTGCTGCACAGTTTTGCCATAGACCCACTATTTTGTTTTGGCTAGGCTTCATTTTAACGTTGAAAGTGAAGGGGTTAAGAAATGTCCATACTCATGTTACCAGAAGTAACAGCCATTATCAGACGCAAACAGGAATTGGTAGGGGGTGGAAAAGACTGCAGTGGCTCACTGTTTCTTAACCGGGTGGTTTGCACTTTGCTGCGATGTCTACACCTTGCCTGGTTAATCAGATCAGAGCAACTAGGGTCTGGCATCTGGTGCAACTAGTTAACCTCCCCCTTAACTGGAGCCACTCCGCCTGGAGTTGCCTGTTTTGAAACAATACTGAGTCACAGCCCTTCTCATTGGAGGCCAGGCAGCCCTTCTCCGGGAGACCCCGCCCCCTCGAGTCAAACGTTGGCCTCGCGGGCGGAGCAGGCGATGTTAATGAGCCGAGTTGCCGGGTGAGCCAGGAACTTCATTCCTTTTTCTATCAGGATCGCAGAAATTATGCCCCTTCTCTCACCATGAACTGGCTGTCCAATTCCCAGGGAGTGGTGTTAACTGCCTACCACCCCAGCGGCAAGGACCAGGCCGTCGGGGGGAGTCTCCCCGAGGGAGGCGAGCAAGCCATCTCCAGGTAAGCCCTGGCGTTCGGGAGCCTGAGAACAAAACAAAAACCTCTTACCTGCTCCAGGAAAAAGTGACAGGGAAGTTGGTGTGGGGAGACCAGAACTACAACCTGGAGCTGCGAACCTGACCTCCTGCTGCGGCTGAGGGCTGGGCTGGGCTTTGGTCGACTTTGCATCTCCTCTGGTTGAACTTGGAAACAGCCCCTAGGATTCCTGCAGGAGATGGGCAGAAGGGGTGGGCTCTGGCCAGCAGACTTGTTGCTTAGCAGGTGCCTTTGCAAACGCTGGAAGATCAAATGGCTGTATTTGAAGCACTTCCTATGAGAGGGAATTCTTGAATGGGCTTCATGGCACAGTCGCTGAAATTGCCACGCTGAAATACCAAAGCCAGGGCGCTGTGGGAGTGTTTTTTACCGGCATCTTCAGCTAAAAGCAAACCTCCCCGGCAAAAAGTCCAAGACACTGGCCCGTGGCAGGGTGTTTCACATTCTTTTGTGAATCTTCTTTCTTTCTTATATTCCCCTCGTGCGGGTAGATGCTTTTTTTAAAAAAAAAAGAAGTTTTGTCAAGAAGTAGTTCTCTGTTGCTGGGAGTGAAACGGGGTTTCATTGCTTTGTAGGCAGCAAAGGCCAGTGCCTAGACCACTGGGAGGCAGAGGGTACTTTTCTCTTTGTGTACTTTGCTCTGCTTTACCAAGGGCGTTTTTCCTTCCCTTTCCTTCATGACCTCCCTTGCTGAGTATTTTGTAATTTTGAAATTGTAATGTGCAGCAAAAGCTTGCAAAAAGCAAATGCTATCTATCATAGGAGTGTAGAGCACTAAGTTAGTTATCATAAGCATGTTTCCGCCTTCATGTTTAATGTGATAATAAAGCCTTTTTTTGTTTAGGTGACTTAGGCTTATGCTTTAAACTGAAATAATGCCTTCTTTCATTTGTTTTAAAAGCCCCAGATGTTGGGGGAGGGGAAGAAGACTCAATCCAAGGAGTGGCTGTAGTGTTGTTATATTTCCAGGCTGACCAGCCCTCTTCCTAACATAATAACCAGAATTTATATTCTTTTGAATGAATTCATTCCCAAAGATAAAAGAGAATTGCTTCTTGTGCTTTTTTTTTGTCTGCTGCTTTAAATATTTTCAGTATTATACAGTGTTTTAATCTATTTTCTGTAGAGCACTCATGTAATGATATCCTTTCAGTAGTAAATAGCCTGGAACACTAACTCCACACCACTCTTCACTTGGATTCCACATGACTGTTGTAATCATCAAAATTGTGCAAACTTAATCCACTCCCTAGTGACTTTATTCTGGGGAGGTCTGAGCATCTGAAAACTTGAATCTTATTTGTGAGATTGGAGAGAACATTAGGCACTTGAATCCAGTCTCTTATCTTTATCTTGGAGACTCAATGCCCAGGAATTAGGTTGTTGCAAGAACTGTCCTTCTAGGGCTTTGCCTGGGGCCTCATATCCAATTCTGGATACTTTAGCCTGCATTTGCAATTTTGCAGCCTGTTTTGGGTGCCTTATACTTGAGTGGGTTGAAGAAAACAAAAGAGAAATGGATCATTCTCAATATGTGCAAAAGGAGAATTGAGAAGAACAAAGATGGCTGGGTGGGCAGGTGCCTGGGGTGAGAACACTCGCTGGGGCTGCTGCCTCAGTCTGCTTCTGAGTATTTGTCTGCTCCCAAGTAGCTCCCCTGCTGGCTGACATATTGCTTGTCCCTCTTGCCCCCAAATGCTCATCCCTGATAGAAAGTCTTAGGGACTGTTGGCTGGAGGAGATCCATTGAGGGCTAGAAGGAAAAACAAGAAATCCCATTAGCTTCTACTCTTAAGCTTGAAATGAAGCTACCAGATAAGTTTGGTGTTACTTTGGGACGCACTCTTTAACCTGGAAGGCTGAGACACTGCACATGAGGCACCGTGGAACAGGGCATGTTTTAGCTTGGAAGCTCTGAGATACCACAACAGAGGGTGGGACAGGGTCAGAAGTGATATTGGGGGTGTGGGGAGAGGACTTAGGGTTTCAGCTTGGATGGCATTGGTTATCCTGCTTTGGGAAGCTGCTCTGAAGTACAAGGTTAATGTTGATTCAATTTTTAAAAGCACTTCACAAGGCAAAACCAAACCCTTAAAAAGAGGCCAAATTAGATATTGTCTGCTAGCTTAAAAAAAAAAAAAAATGCTGGGGGGGGGGTGCACAGCTGTCTAACTTTCTAAATTGTCTTCTAAATAACCTGCATTTTGATGGACTATTTTAAAAAAGTTTATTCGTTCAATATGATGAATTTATGTATATGCCATTTGAAAAGTATACAGGGCTGTGTATGTTATTTGCGGATATTTGCAGAAAATGCTTGATTTTTAGCTTTGCCTGACCAAGCTTCCTTTTGTTGTTTAGTCCTTTGGAGGAAGCTGAGATAGTAGGGAATTAATATTTTGTAAATAATCTGTTAGTCTAAAATTCCATCCAATCCATTCTTTTATTCTTCTTTATCAAGACACATTCATTTCATGATTGACAAGGGAATTCCTCCTACTTTTGGTTAGAAACTGCCAAATATTTACAGAATTCTGTTTTCAGTTTCTTTTGGTCATATTTCCTCCTGAAAACACTGGAATTTGTAGAACATGCACATGCTAATATTAGTTGTTCTGACTGACATGCATAGTCAAATATTTCCAGAGGAAATAACTTTTTATGAGTAGCTATATTTATGACTTTATTTACTTGCTAATTTTCAAGTAGGTTTCTTAATGTTTACTTTTACAAAGCACTTTTTAAACGAATACAGCATTTTGACTGTTCTTAATGTTCTCTCTTGAGTTTCCTACCATTTTAAGAGGAAATGGTTGCTTGTTCTTTATTTGTATACCTTTTTTTGATGAATATTGATGTCAAATGATATTTTCCTTCTCACTGGACTTGGTCTAACTCTTGTTGATGTAGGATATCTGTGTGTGTGTTTTTTAATGAATGAATAGCATTTATCTGGGAAGGTTTTGTGATCTGTTTACATTAGTTCTGGGGAAATGCAACCTACAGGTAGCACATTACAGGGATGTAAACCCTGACACTTGGACTCTCGGACTAACCTGCTGGGATTCACATCCTGATTCTCTCACTAGCAGTGTGGCCTTGGAGGGGTCATTTAACTCTCTACCTGTAAATTGAAAGTCATGCCAGAGTTTATTTCACAGGAAGATTAAGTGGAATGTTCCAAGTAAAGTACATAGAACAGTGCCTAGTTTATAGCTTACTACAAGTTTCTTTAATGTCAGGTAAAGAAAGAACGTTGATGCATGTAACATGTGGTCTACTCTTTCACATTTCAAAAGCCTGTTCATAAATATTTTTTGCCTATGTTAAGATACCTGTGTGATCCATGTGCATCACTAAGAATAGCTTTTGTGGTGAGCCTAATGTGGTATATACAAATGTTGATTCTTAGTGACACACCTGTGACTTACATAATGTCATAATGCAGTCTTCCAAAAATTAATTAATGAGTGGCTTAGCTTAAAATTAATCACATGTAAAAGTATCATACAATCCCTTTGAAGTTTGAAAGCCCTTGGAAATGTCCTTTGATCCATAGCAACATTTACAATTTGAACAGTGGCGGCCTTGGGGCATACATGGGTCACAATGAGGTCTGCAAATATTGGCTTTTATGGCAAGAGGGAATGTGGGTGTGCCCTCTTTTGGCAGTCTCAACTGTGGCTGCTCCAAGCTTCTGTGTTTCTCCTGTAGTGGCTACAACTGCTCAGTGTGCCACATGGGAGAGAGCTGCTATCTTCATACACTTAGCCTAGTTCTAGGTCATTTCATGTCCAATCCACTTCTAGGTTCTACTGTGGTATACAAGCCCATGAGAAGAGTTAAGGATTGTTGCACTACTTGGCCATGCATCTCCATAAATATAGATTGGGGAAAACTAGAGTGAAAGGATGGGCTGGGCAAGGTCTGAAACTCAATTTGGACTAAAAACTTGATAACATCTTTCTGAGAGAAGCGTTAAGAGAAGGATGTGATCATCTTTCTCGATAAGAGTTTTTACACAAATCTATGTATAATGTTGAGAATCAAGTTCTCCCTCTGAATTTGTGTACTACTGAAGTTGTGTCTTTTTTTGGTAAGTACAGAATGGCAAGGAGTTTTTATAACATTATTATAGGTGCAGTAGCATTTCATTTTCCCTAGCTGTAACTTTTAAGGCATATTTCCTCATTTTAATTTTGCAGAATTTAGTGGCTAAAAGCATATTTAACCTAATGAGATCATTGTTTTCTACATCATCATAGACTTCTATCTCGTGACATAGGCATACTTCCTGAAAACTTACTTTTTACCATATAGTTTGATTAAGAGTCCTTAACCAAACTTCTTTGTGTAATTACTAAGAGACACACCCTGAATTTCTACTGGACAGGTCTTACCTTTAGAGTTATGTGTATTTACCTTCTAACTCTCCTTATTTATGATTTTTACAGACCTGTGATTTTTGTAGGCCTGTTTAAAGTGCTCTTCATGGAACTTATATTATGCTTATAAGTTTCAAGTAAAAGGATTATAAATCTCGAGGAACCACCTGCCCTAGTTCTGCCATCCAAGCCTGATGGACGCTTTCCTTATTTTCCACCTCACTGTAATAGCCACCTTGTAATAGCCACCTGCACTGTCACTCTTGTTTCTCTTTTCTAACTAGAACTTGTGCTTATTCAAAGATTTATGATTCTTTTTATATTTTAAGTTCTTAGTATTTATCTTGCTTTTAAGGGTGTTGCAGCAAAATGAACAAATTAAAGCATTTAATGATGCACGTGATTGCTACTGGATTGCCTGGCAATTAGGCCTACATAGTTTTTGATAATTTGAACAGCAAAATAAATTACTTTTTTCTTACTTTTAATTCATCATTAGCTATAATATCTGTATTATTTATACATTAGAAAAAAGACCCTATAGCCCAAGGCTTGACTGGTTTAAGTTGCTGGTGGTCT